AAAAAAAAAAAAATTCAACTGGGCAGCAGGATTCAAAGTCCCAACGGATATTAGGGCATTGCTGCTAACGTGTTCATGGTGGTAATGACATTGCGGTTATGTTTTTTTTTTTTTTTTCTTTTACCATTTAGAGATGCATTGTGAGGTATTTATGAAGCGACACAATGTCTGGGATTGACTTCAAAATAACCCCGTGGAGGGGACAGGTTAACGTGGATCTGGATGACACCAGCTCTGCTGAGCTAATCATTGCCGAGGACAGGCGACTCCTTACGTGAATCTCTACTTTTACAGAGATTTGGAATTTTCCATAATTAAACTGTTTTTAAAAATCCTTCTAAAGGTCACAGAGAGTCCAAGCATATGGCCATGAATCACCTCCCTGACTCTCTGCCCAGCCCAACTGGAACAAATGCCCAGGCTTAGCGTTTACTGAAGGTGCGGTGAGCCAGACACCTGCGTGCTGTCTCTCTCTGTGTCCCCCTGCTGGGCAGCAGGGGCACTGCAAAGCATGCACATAGTCCTTGAAGTGACTCTCAACCAGCAGAATTTGGAAGAACTTTCACCTCTCTAAATACACCCAGCACACACGAATAAGCCCTTTGGTGAGTGGTCCCTTAAGTCCCGGACTTGGGACGACAGGAGTGGTGAGAAGCCCCGGCTGCACGGCCTCCTCCCCATAACACGGGACAGGAAGTGATGGCTCTGAGGGTTAAGTGACCATAGGCACAGGAGAGTTTGGCATATGCTCAGTGCACAGAGAACTTCACTGCATGAAGGCAGGAGGGAGATACAAGGTGTATTACCAAGAGGACAGAGCCCTGAGGTGAACTAACACAAACCCGTCATCCTTACCTGACTGGCTGATGAAAAAACAAACGTCATCCCTGAACACCGGTGTGTTCCTGTCCAGAAAATCGCTCGCAAGTTCAACCATCACAGGGAGCTCCGTTAGCTCCTCCAGAACTTGCCGCGTCTGCAGCCAACAGGAATGGGGACCAAAGTCAGTCAGAGATGCCACAGAGACACAAGGCAGCTGGGCTCCTGGGGACGGTTTGTGTGGCTGGGGCCAGGTGGTCAGGGAATTTAGGCATGCCCGGCCCCCACCGTGGGAGAAAGGCTTCGGTGCCAACTCTCATGCTGGTTCACGGGCACCGGATTTGGGTCAGACACACCGTAGCGTCTAAGACTATGCTCGGCCCCCGCTCCCTCCCCAGCACCATCACGGGCCCAGTGTGATGCACTTACAGCCACAGCGGCGTGGTAACTGGTTCCACAGCCAATCACGATGAGCCGGCGGCACCGCCGAATCTCCTTCAGGTGGTCCTTCAGGCCGCCCAGGAGCACTGTGGGGCACACACAGCGCGTTAATGCTGACCCCACCCAGGGAGGTGCGTCGGCCCAGGGCACAGACGAGGGATTACCTGTGTTGGTCTCAAAATTCACCCGGCCTCTCATGGTGTTGAAAACGGACTCTGGCTGTTCGAAGATCTCCTTCTGCATAAACGCACTGAAGTTACCTGGTCAAATAAACGTCAACAGAACAGGTCAATTTTAATCTGGTTACATTACCACTGCTTAACTTGCGATCAGGGTGCAAAGCTGTTAAGCAGTTAGTTACAGAGACACATGTGGAGGCCGCTGCAGATTCCCAGGGGCCTCTCGGGGACTGTCCCCCCTCATGCTCATGGTGACAAGTGAGAGGGAAGCAGGCCAGATAAGATTACTACCTTCAGTTGACATATTGGACCCTGCAGCTTGAAGGAGCGAGGGCTATAAGCAGCAAATGTGTGGCTGCTTTTAGCAAAGCCAGAGGAAAGGAAAATGCTTTACTTCCAGAAACCAACCTACTTAGGGAAGTACAAATGAAGTAAGCCCAGAGAAATAGGCAACTGTCTTTTGAACAAATACCCTCCTAGCTTCTGTATTAAAGAAAAACCTTTTCTGGGGCGTTTGGGTGGCTCAGTCGGTGAAGCGTCTGCCTTTGGCTCAGGTCATGATCCCAGGGTCCTGGGATCGAGCCCCTCATCGGGCTCCCTGCTCAGCGGGGAGTCTGCTTCTCCCGCTCCTCCTGCTCATGTTCTCTCTCTCTTTCAAATAAATAAATAAAATCTTTAAAAAAAAGAAAGAAAAGAAAACCTTTTCTGCCACACATGCATTTCTAGGGCTCTGATCTGAATGGAATTGGATGATGTCAAAGGGATGTTCTGGCCGCAGAGGGTTAAGGCCCCTGACAGGTGTTGTGCCTGAAGCTTTGGAGGTGTCCACAGACAGGGTGGGAATGTTCTCTGGGATACACACATGTGTGATGATGCCAAACATGGTAGAGTGCCCGTCTGCCACCTTCAGCTGGGGACTTGCACAAAGGGCACCATGAAGCAAAGAGGGGTAAATGGTCAAAAGGAGCCAGTCAAGAGCAATGATCTCCTGGTGAGCAAGCACTTGGCCGGCCTAAGTCACCGTGAGGTGGCCGGAGAGGTGGGCGGAGCATAGTGGGAAAAGGGTAGAGTGAGGTGGGGCCAGGCTGGGCATTGGGGTATTGTGGGCTATGGCAGGAAGTACGGATTTTCTTCCAAGAACAGCGGGAAGCCATCAGAGAGGGTTTTAAGCAGCGGTGTAAGAGGGTCTGATTCACATTCCTAAGTGTTTACCCAGGCTGCCCTATGCAGAAAGGGGTGGAGGGAGACAGGCTCTCCTCGAAAGGAAGGAGTAGTCCACAGACCCCTGTTTTTGCAGGCTTCTGACCCAGAGAAGAAATGACCTCTGGGTGTCAGTATGTGTCCCAGAGTTGGTAAAGGGAGGCCATGGATGGACTGCTCAGATCGAGCAGGGAGACCTGGCGCCTGGTTCCAGTCAGGAGCTCCCCAATGGCCACGGCAGGCAGGAGGGCTGTGGTGCCCATTCAGGGTAGGACGCAGAGTCTCAGGAGTGCCCCCATAAAGCACCTGTCCCCCAACCCAAGACCGCTGCACACAGACCCTCAGAGGACACCTGCCTTTCATGATTTGCTGCAGTTCCATCTGCAAGGTCTGGATGGCTCGAGATGGGTCATCACTAGCCAAACGCTTGACCCGATGAATGGAGAGTTTCCCATCAGCCACTGCGGCGATGTCATCATCCTCGAGGAAGATGACCCTGTTGGTGTGTTCTATGATGGCGCTGGGGCAAGAGAAACACAGGCGTCACAGATGGTGTCTGAGCTCGACAGTTGCAAGATGGCAGCCCCTGCCTCCCAAGTGTGGGTCCACATCAGTAGCAACGGATGGCATTTTAGGAGGGACAGGGACATCACACTCTAAACATCAATTCACACTTCCTTCCCTGCCCTCAGAATTATTGTGAAGCCAGTCCCAGACTTCCTAACATTTCATCTGTAAATATTTTAGCTTATATCTCTAAAAGGGAAGGATCATTTTTTAACCTTATTAACCTAAAATTAATAAGTTATTATTAAGTTATTCCTTCATCTCATCAAATGTCCAGTCTGTTCAAATTTCCCCAATAATCTCATAGATGTCCTTTTATGATCGCTTTCTTCAAATCAAGATCCAGACAGTGTCACCTTTGGATAATGCTCGGGAACCAACACATTATTCTGAATCGGAACGGGAAAGAATGAAACATTTATCTTGCCTTTCAAAATGATCTGGCTTTCAGAATAAGCACATCGTTTATGAAGGCAAGTTTCTCTTTATGGGAGGAATATAGCTAATGAAGAAGGAATGAGGGCATTAGAATAGTCAATTTGTGAACTCCTAATTATTTTATTTTTATTTTTTAAAAGATTTTATTTATTTATTAGAGAGCATGAGCGGTGGGCGGGGAGGGGAGTAGCTGCAGAGGGAGAGGGAGAAGCAGAGAGCCCGATGCGGGGCTCGATTCCAGGACCCCAAGATCATGACCTGAGCTGAAGGGAGATGCTTAATGACTGAGCCACCCAGGCGCCCCCCCCTTGATCAATCTTAACAGCACTAAAAGACAGATGAGGATATATATATGCCTCCGGATGGAAGGACACACCACCACATATGAAGCAGTTTTGCCAAAAAAATCAAACCTGAAGGAGATCAAGTTTCTAGATACCTGTGAAAGCCAGGGTACAGAAGTATGAGGGGCAGGGGAACGTGTGAAGTGACACCAGGGGGCTTCACTCAGCAAAACCCCGACAGCGGGAAAGTCATCAGGACAAATGACTCAATTTCATAACACAGGCGCACAAACACACACACCCTCCAAGGAAAAAAGGGTGGTTTAGGAGCAAAGTATCAAATATGTCCACCAATGAAATCTGGGGTCACTGTGTTTACTTTTATAAAAACTTTCTCTGCATGGAAAGTAATGATTTTTGTCTTGCAAAATGGCAATACAAAGTTTCTTTTAAAAATAAATCGAGTTAAGGGTGCCTGGGTGGCTCAGTCGGTTGAGCATCTGCCTTTGGCTCAGGTCATGATCCCAGGGTCCTGGGATCGAGTCCCGCATCGGGCTCCCTGCTCAGCAGGGAGCTTGCTTCTCCCTCTGCCTCTGCTGCTCCCCCTGCTTGTGCTCTCTCTGTGTCAAATAAATAAATAAAATATTTAAAAACATAAATTGAGTTAGAAAAGTTGGTAAGCGGGGTGCCTGTGTGGCTCAGTGGTTAAGCGTCTGCCTTTGGCTCAGGTCATGATCCCGGGGTCCTGGGATCGAGCCCC